TATTCAAATAGTAAAGCAGCTGTATTTAAAATGTATATAGTGTTGTGCTATATAAATAACTCTTGTGTTTTTGGTGATTTTCTTTGTAATGAACAGAGATCAGGTCACACAAAAGCAAGCATAGTACTGGTGGTGGTTGTATTGTGGAGGGTAGTTGTTATTAAACATTCTCAGTATGCAACTCTTATTTACATACCACTGGAAGACAACGCTTAGGTAAGTGCTGTCAGATTAGAAGTCCTCCAAGTCTTCCAACATTTCCATTTTCAGCCCTGAGCTGAACTTGGGCTTCTCTTGATGCTCTTTTTTTTTTTTTTTAAGACTGTAAAGAGACAAAAATGACATTTTGTTCCCAGACATCAGGCAACAGCCAATTGCCCTCTACTGCTGCCCAAGTACAACGTAGTAAAGATGTTGGTAGATGTGTTTATAAGTAAGGATCAGAGGTTTGTGAGTATCATAAAGGCAGACTTTACAATATGCTAAATAAAAGAGATTGCAAGTACTCAGTAGGTTGACAGAAACTTCTCCCTCCTGGGTCTTGCAGCTCCCACCTCTGCCCTGTGGGAGCCAGTTGTGTGATAACAGCAGTGCTATTGTTGGATCATTACTAATGGTGACGCTTGTTCTCAGGAGCTCTTAAATCACCCTTTCCTCAGCAGGCATGGGCTTGGCTGTGCTAACCCTATTTTGTAGAAGGGAGACTATTTGTTTGATGTCGAGCTGAAAATCACTGGTGTTTAATGCAAACTCATGTCCTGAGTCTTATGTGTGTGTATTTGTCCCCAGGGGGGCAGCCTTGGTTGTCACTTCCATCACTGTCTTCTCTAGACTCCTGATGAATTGGATTCATTGCCCTTTAACTGAACCAACCAAGGACATTAATTTGAAATATCTGAAAGCTATTCATTTGTCAAAAGATACTTCCAGTCACACAAGCTGCAGTGATGACATTTCTGCCCTGAACTGACTGATTGGGTTGTTTACTTTCTGAAAAGTCACGTACCCTGGGTCGAGGACAACGCAATTCATGACCTTAAAATGCCTCTCTCCCACAGATGATATATTAGCTACTTTACACACACACATAAATATAATGCACACCTTTCAATTTAAGTTAATAGCAAACATTTTATTTCACTGAAGTTTGCTAAACACTTTACCTGTCTACTCTTACTTGATCTTCACAATTACATTCTGAAATTGATGTTTTTAAAATGTTTATAGATGAGGAAAATGAAGCTTAGCATATCAACACTGATGTAGCTACTTATTTATTTGTTCCCATTTTATCCAAATCATTTATGTAATAGTTCAGGATTCTAAAACATAATGTAATCAATCTGTTTTGTAATAATTAATAAAGCAAAATAAAATCAGTGGCAGAAAGGAGAGTCTGTGTAGAGAGAGCATACCAGGGCAAATGTTCGTATGTAGACACACAGGCTAAATAGGCCTCCCACCTCACAACATTGTCATAAACTGGATTTGAGTTTCCTGAAACCCAAAATAAAAATGGAAAATAAAACGTCATTTCATCCAGGAAAATAAAGGACACCAGTTATTCAGAAGACAGGGTGCCTTCCCTGATGGCTGAAGGAAAAGAAATGTCTTCTGCAGGGACCACCAAATATGATGTTTCTCTCTCACAGCTGCAAAAAAAAAGCCGAGTGCTGGATGCCACCCCAGACCAATTAAACAGCGTCTTTACAAGGGTCCTGATAGCAGCATATTTTCCTTAAAACTCCCTGTATGATCCTGATGGGTAGTGAAGATTAAAAACCTCTGACAGAGTAAATTCTGTGTCACTGAGGAAGTAACATCCCTGAGTAGATTTCTCCAGTAAATCCCAGAGGGATCTCTGTGTCCCCAGGCCAACTGTGGGAATGGGGTAGTTGGGTGCTCAGTTTCAGATGTTTTCCTAGGAATGGGAGTAAGGGAGGGGTAAAGGGTTTTAGAAAATGAAACTTAGATACATTGAGTGTTATTCCCACAAAGGGGACTGAGTAAAGTGATATGTAATTTGGTGACCATGGATTGAGAATTTATTCCAGGAATACCACCTCAATTAAAGGGGAGCCAGTGAAAGCTGACTCAGAACCTAAACATCCCTGATGGCTCACGCTGCTGCTAAAGTGCTGAAGAATTCTCAAGCAGCTTTATTTTATGCATCTCTGCCTGCTACCTGTGTATGACTCATGATTAGGAGAAGTGGGGCTGGCTTCTCCCCTTTCCTGATACAGAGGGATGTCATCAAGCACAGCGAAAAACAACATCATTTCCAGAGGGCTTTTAGTTTTGCTTTCCCAATGGCCCAAGGCCCCCAGAGATTCCGATCCCACTCAGTGTCTGCAAAGAAGATACCGAGGGAATGAAAAGCTTCCCCAAGAGAGAATCATCAAGCTGCAAGCTTTTGGGAGATCCTAGTAGATGACCTTTAAAACTTGCACCAATCATTCCTATAAAATAATAAGTGAGTGTTTCTACAGGCAGTAACAGTATTGGAAGCTTGTAGCCACCGAGTGCCTTGAAGATTTTCAAGTGCTTGTGTTGGCAACCTTACATTTGATCTCTTGAGTATCCATAGAGAGAGGGTGCCATATTTTCCAACAGTTAGACAAGAAGGAAAATGTATCACACAAGGTTTTCCAAGTTTGCCTGAAAGTCACAGTCACCTGGGGGACCTATGGAACTCACAGGCCCTTCCAGAAATGTTGACTCACTAGTACTTGGTAAGGCCTGGGAATCTGGTTTTGTTTTTCCTTTTTGTTAAAATACTTACTGCAGGTTTTTCTTATCCTTAGGTAAATTTAGGAAGACTGCACGTGAAGGAAATCTGGATAATGGGTTGGTCAAAAAACAATAGGAGTCATTGGAAAAAGAGTCTGTAACTGTAACTCTGAAGGATTTTGTGTTGTAACACACATCAACTTTACGCAAATTACTTGTATGTCCTTTGCTTCCAAATTCTGTAAAATGGAAATCATTTAATCATCAGAGTATCAAAAAAGACAACTAACATGCATTTAATTGTGGGTAGCTGCTTATTTAAAAAATGGTACAATACCATGTAATATGGTACCTAGGACATTGGTGGTAGTTTGATGTATGACAGTGACTATTACTTAGGACCGAACTATCAAACTGTGAACTGACACTCTAAACTTCCAGCCTGAAGCAGTGGTCACAGCTGAGGGTAACTGCGCTCCTATGGGGTGTTTGTCATTGTCTGGAGGGCATTTCTGATCATCAGGACAGGGGAGGTGCCCCTGATATCTAGTGGACAGAGGTCAGGAATGCAGCTCAACACTCTACTGTGCACAGGACAGTCTCCTTCACAAAGAATTATGTGACCCAAATGTCATACTGCTGCGGTTAAGAAGCCCTACCCCAAAGGGACAGTGAGACAAATAAAAAGTCTTGTGACTGGAAGAATAAATACTCTGGGTCACCCCATAGAGCAGGTGGATCCAGTGGGACACAGATGCCTTTCTAGGAGATCACCCAAAAATCAGAGGCATGGATTTGCGTCCTGTTGTAGGGTCAGGAAAGGACACAGTGCAGGTTTTCTATGATCCAGCAGACCGGGTAAAGGAGGAGTCAGAGTCCTCAGTGGCTTTTTGCAGGCTTTTATTGGGGTTTACCAGGCATATGGCAGGCAGGGGTGCTGGGGGGCCGGGAGGCTGGTAGACCTCCCAGGCCCCAGCAAATCCTTACTCTATCTGGGCTCTCTGGCCTTCTCTCTGCTTCTCTGCTCTTCTGTTCGTTCTGCTGCTTCTCGGCTTCTGCTGGCGTCCCCGTGACGCCGCCCTTAAAGGCCCAGTCTTGGCCCAGGTGAATCCCATCTACCTATGCCCACACCCTATTCCAGGTGCCCGCCATCAGGCATGCATTCAAGACCGCAAGGATCCACCATCTATCCTGATGGCGGGAGGGCAGAAAAGCCTGACATTTTCCCTTACCCTACACCTGTGATTCACATAGTGCCTCTGATTGGGGCTGACTTTTCCACACTCATGCCCACCATTCTTTGTGTGGGATCCAGAGTGAATGGCACCCCTGGGGTTGTGCACCAGGCAGCCCTGACAACCACCTTCACTTTGGGTGAACGTGTTCACCTCTGTGTGTCCAGGACACCTCATTAGACTGATAATCATTACGTTCACCTGGGAAACTTGCTGAAAGGCAAACTTCTGGCTCCATTCCCCGAGATTCTGCTTCAGTAGGCTCTGGAAAGCACCCTGGGAGCCACACTTATAAAAATCACCTCAGGGGATTCTGAAGCTCTCTTACAGCCAAGTTTGCACCTCTAAGTTCTTCGCCAACTCTGACATTCAGAGCATCTATGAGGCCTGGGGCCTAAAGTCCTCCTGCTTCACTGCTCTCACCTCATGCAAAGTAACTGTTTGGGTGGGTCTGAGGCATTTGGGTTAACATTCTGTTTTCTATTTTTATTATTACTAGTAGTACAGTTAACACTACAACTACGAATAATAGTAATAATACAATAATAACAATAACACGATGTCAAGGGTGACAACTGTTCAGAGGAGCTACTTCCGCAACAGTAGTTCTCCATCCTGGAAACAATTATGACCTGGGGGCCGGGGGCGTTACAAACACTGATGCTAAGCTCCATCTTCGCAAATGAGACCGACTCTCCGGTGACGGTTCTCAGGCTTCTGCACATTTAGAAGCTCTCCCTCTTGGTCCTCACATTCAGCCCGCTCAGGGTGTGTTGGTCTCAACATACCAACCTGCCCCCCAGAAGACCGAGAAGGGTCAAGTGCACACAGGTGCACACAGGCCAAGGCTGTGCTCCTGGCTTCTCTGACCCTGGAGTAGGGGCGGCCCCGCCCCTACTTTCTTCTAAACATTGTTTTCAGACTCTCGCTTTCAGGTCATTGGATAATGTTTGAGATATCATTTGATGACTATTACCCGTCCCAGAAGCGTATTCACAATGCTACCCTCCCTTATCCTCTTTTTCCTCTTCACAGGCACTAAGAAGCGTTCTCATGGCTCCCCAGCCCCAAGCACTAGCTCCACAAGTCGCCTGACCTTGCCAGGTGGGTAAACTGTACTGTGCCATAATCCTAGTGATCCGGAGAGTTTTCTCAGGATGGTTTCTCAGGAATTGAGTTTAGCAGTTAGCGGACAGAGTATCTGACCCCTTACTTTTCCACTCCAACCTGTTATCAGAGAGCTTTATCTGAGGTTCCTCCAGGAAAGGACATACTATATTCATAGCTGGTTCACTGCCTCCCATGTTCTTCCTTGATGTTTATCAAGATGTGCTATGGAAGCATTTCTTTGAGAGACTGATGGTACAGGGCTGAGTGTGAGTCTTCGGTGAGAGACATTTGGGTTCAACTCTGTCCTTATCTCTACAGATTGGGATTAGAAATAATTCTTGCAAATACAGCATGTATTTATATGCATACATATATACACTGCATATGCAAATACATACATATATATGCTGACATGTATATTGGGTGTTCATAGCTAATCAGTTTCTGCTATTGAGAAATATGGAAGTCATGTGTGGTCTGTATTGAATCTCATCTAACATTTATTAGTGATTTTTTAAAAAGATTTATTTATTTATTTATATAAGCACTGGGCACAGTCAGAAGCGTGGGATGGTGAGAGAATGCACCAGAGCCAGAGCGGGGAACAGAACAGGCAGACTGACGAAACACACTGCTGAGGGGAGCAGCAGGTACAGCAGGAGAGGTCTGTCGCGCCATGTGGGACCCTCACCAGCGGCCGGGGATTGAACAGGCATTGCGTATGCTGCAGGCAGCTTTGCAGCCCAGCACTCAACCGCTGCGCCACCAGGCCCTATTAGTGAATTTTGAGCTTTCACAATATCCATGTGTGATCACTGTTTCATGTGAGAGCCATATATTGTTCATTCTGTCTCTATGCATGGGACAACATTGTCTACTACAATTTAATGTTTGTAAGTAGACTTAGAAAGACATATCTATTGAGGAGAGGTAATAAAAGGTTAATATGAACATCCCAGAAAATGGAAAAAATGCTAACAATTATCAGAAGAAAAACTTTTGCCAATATACCACCCAGAGCTCACCAATATTACATCTCTTTCCAGTCTCCACTGAATATGTCTTTCTCAGGTTTTTTATTCTACATGGAGTTTTTGTTTCCTTCCTTTTAAAATTTGCCATTGCATTATGAGATTTCCCCCCATGTTATTAAATAAATGAAAAATATTTCATTGACTAACATTTCATATAATTATGTCACAATTTATATTATAAGATCGTTGATAATTTGACATTTAAGTAGTTAGCATTTTTATTATTTTAATTAACCTTATGTTCTTGTACTTAAATCTTCTTTCTAGTCCATAAGTATGGTGCTAGGATAGATTTCTGTAGTAGAATTACTGGATCAAGAATACATACATATTTAGGTTCATATTCTTTGTCATTATTGTGAAAGTGATTTCTGGAAAGGTAGTATTTTATACTATGTGTAGTGAGTTTGCCATTTCACTCTGCTCTTGCTAATGCCAACATTAATATGTTAACAAAATAAGAAAAATTATATCTGCATTAGATTCGCATTTATTTTATCTTTTAAAAAATCTGCTTTCTAACATTAATTAATCTTTCACATTTCTTTTTTCTGAAATTGCCATATTTTACCCATTCTGAGAGATACCCTTACATGTTAGCCCTTTTGAAATAGGAATGTTTGCAATCAATGGTGCTTTGTCATAATTTAATTACCAGCAATTTTTCTAGGTTTTATATAAAATAATATTTAACTTTTCAAAATAATTGACATTTTAGATTAGATGAAATATAATCTATGTCTGTTTTTTCAACCTTAGCTTCTGTGGCTTCCCCACCTCACTCCAACAGCTGGACTCAGTGTCTACTTAAACTTTCTTGCTTCTCGCCCTCTGCCTGCAATGCTCTTACCCTTGTATTTTCCCGATTCATCTCTCTTTGCAGTCCCTCCAGATCATCTAGGAGAAGTAATATTAGCACAATTATTTGCTTATCAATCCATTTCTCCATTAATAGGTGGCTTTTTCAGGGGTGGGGACTGCCTTCCTTTCTGCCCTGTGCCTGACAAAGTGGCAAGCACATATTGGGTGCTCACTACTTTTATAAGACTGAATGTGTGGGTATGAGTGTGTATTCTCCAGTTGAATTTACTCTATACAGAAAGCAACCATACTCACAGAAAGGCTCATTGTTTTTGGTTTTTTTTTTTTTTTTTTTTTTCAAATTTGGTTCTGAATCTAGTAAACTAACTGAATTTTTTCCCTTTTTTGAAGTGACATTGGTTTATAACACTGTGTTGATTTAAGGAAATAGGCTTACACCTCCTCAAATGTATGTCACAACACCACACCCACCACCAAAGCATCCATTGTCCTTTACTTTAGACTATTGCTCCCCCCCTTTCACCCAATCCCTCTCCACCATACCCTTCTAACAGCCTCAATTCTGCAGTCATATTTCTAGGGTTTATTTGGTTCAGTTGTGTCATTTTCTTTGATTTGTTTCTCTATATTTCACATTTGTGTGAAATCATTCAGTATTTGTCTTTTTTCTAATTTACCTCACTTAACATAATTCCCTCCAGTTCTATCCATGTTGTCACAAATGGCAAGAGTTCATCTTATTTTTTATAGTTGAGTAGTATTCCATCATGTATGTATGCTAACTTGTTTTTTTAATATTGACTAGACCTTGCTCTGAAGTTATGCTGTTTGGTCGATGAGCATTAGGAGAAAACATGTTGTAGATCAAACCACTCCAGTGTATACTGGTGGGGGTTGCTCTTCTTTATTAGGTCTTAACATTCAGTCAGGTGGGACCTGGAGGCCATCCTGGGCAGGGATCAGAATAGCCAGGGCTGACCTAATTTCTACATGCTGTGCTGGGGGCTTCCTGCTAGTCAGTTGAGTTTCCAAGTCCTCCAAGTCAGTCTTAGCCATCTGTCTTTGGTTGTCATTTGGCAGTATAAGCAGGTCCCAAATTGTGTCTTATGCTCCATGTTCTGACCACTCCCATACCATTAGAGATGGCATGGGTAGTTAAACATTTGACATAATTTGCCATTCTTGGCCTGCCAGACACTCTTCATCTCTCTCATTACAATGGCCAGCTCACTACTTCTCTCTCCCATCTCAGGAACACCACGTGTTGTCTCTCTCTGACTCAATGCTTACATCATCGGCTCTTGATGCAGGCTGTCAAGCAGTTTAAAATATAATGTTTAGGATACTTAGAGAAAAATGGAGGAATACTGTTTCTTGAAAATATAATAATGAAGTAAAATTATATAGAAAAAAACAAAGACAGGCAAAAGAAATTATTCAAAATCTGAAAATTTAAAAATGCAAACAAATATAGCCATTGGAATTTTTTAAAAAAGATAAACTCAGTTGATGGGATAACCTCAAGGTAGAACACAGCTGAAAAGAGAATTAATATTGGAAAATAGTCCTTATTTCTAATGAAAGACAGTGTGGAGAGGGAACCATAATATAATATGAAAGGGCATGAAACATATAGTTTTAGAAAATAAAATAGGGGTAAATCTGTGTGACCTGGAATTAGGCAATCATTTTGTAAATATGGTACTTAAAGCTCAAGCAACCAAAGAGTAAATAAGTAACAAAGGTTCACCAAGATTGAAAAGTTGTGCTTCAAACGATACCATCAAGAAAAGTGGGAAGAAAATCCATGAAATAGAAGCAAATGTTTGCAAATCACGTATCTGATAAGGATCCAAAATCCAGAAGATGTTAAGAATTCTTATAACTGAAAAATAAAAAGACAACCCAAATAAAAGTGAGCAAGAGATCTGAATAAACATTTTAAAAAAAAAAAAAAGATATGCAAATGCAGTGAGAAAAATGCTCAACATCATTGGTGTTTAGGGAATTAAAACCTAAACCATTTTGTATGCACTAGAATGATGAGAATAAAAAAGATGACTAGACAATGATGTGGAGAAAAAAAGATGTATAATAGCAAGGGTTGACAATGATGTGGAAAAAACAGTACCCTCCTACATTGCTGGTAGGAATGTAAATTGGAATGCAGTTTAGCAGTTTCTCAAAAAGTTAAGCATAAAGTGACAGTACGATCCAGCAACTCTGCTCCTGGTATGTTCCCAAGAGAATTGAAAACGTGTTCACACAAAAACTTGTCTATAATTAAAAAAAAAATGTCTACAGATATGTATAGACGTATTACTTGTAATACGCGAAAAAGTGGAAATAATCTAAATGTCCATGATGTCAAGTGAATGAATACATTAATAAGATGTGGTAAATCCATAGAAATAGGTTATTATCTGACTTTGCTAAGGTAATGATGCATGGATGCTTCCTGCATTGGAAACATTTTGCTAAATGAAAGAAACCAGATATGAAAGACCACATAACACATGACTCCATTTATGTGAAATGTTCAAACGGGCTAATGCAGAAAGACAGTAGTTCAGTGGTAGCTAGAGGCCGAGGAGAGGAGAGGAAAGATATGAGTCTGGTAATCCTAAGTGGCCTGTTTGGCCACCATTTTGTTACCTATGTTTCTGCATTCCTACACAAGGTCAGAACAGCCTGGTCAATCAGTTCTGGGAGCCCAACCCTATAAGGTGCCTTTCAAGCCATCAAGAATAGAAAACTTGATCACCCTGGGAAGGGTATGCATCACGAGCTATGACCAGTAACGCCCAGGGGCCTAATGACTGATGCCTAAACTTACCCCTGACTTATACATCTAGAGGTATGACTGGGAACACCTGGGGGCCCTTTGACTGATAATGACAAAGGACCCCCAGAAGCTGGTTAATGGGACACCTTGATAAGATTGAAACTGTGACTGGGGAACTAAGGCTTGATTTCAATCTCAATACTGAGTCATCAAGCAGATGAGAATGCCTGGGGGACAGATAGCATAGATTACAGAGCACATTTTCTAGTTTCAACCCTCCCTTTTCTCTTTGTCCCTCTTCCCCGCACAACTGATGCTATATGATTATTCTATGAATAATAAGGTCAGGATCT